ATGTGGCGGGCGTAGAGAGTTTCGGCAATCAAGCGAAGACATTGTCAGTGCGTGATGTCGGTTTCGAACAAACCAGTACATCTTTGCTGGCCTGGCAGTCGGGGAGCCAAGCGGACGGATTAGCAAACCGTCACAGAAGTTCGACATTCTGGCTAAACTGTACTCAAAATCCGCTTGAGATGCCACATGCGACCACTGATGATGCCGACTACGAGGTCGGCGAAACGTTTGAGAATGTACCAAGTCGACTGTCTGATGCTGGGAATCATGACAACTACTATGGCCGACGACTTCGGACTAGGTCGCCCTGACAACAAGACCAAGTTGCGACAACCCAATTCCATGAATCGAAAGGAGACTGCGACCATTTCAGAGAGCACAATAACTTGGTCTTCATATCTTCAAATATAACTTTGCTTCATCGACAATCCCACCAAAGAATGTGGTATGGGAAAATGCCTGGCCTTGCCTGAAATGCACATCTGCTCTGTCACTCATTGGTACTTGTGGCAATGCCGCGTACCGGTTGACGTGTCAATATTGTTCGTTGCAATGTCATGTTTCCAGCCCCCCCGGGGGTGAGGCTAAGACTAAGTTAGGCGAGGTCGAGATTGCAGTCCGTTATGAATGAGAACACTTTGTGGGAAACGAGGCCAATATGAAATTGTATGACAACGTAAGGTCGATTCATATGATTGTGAAGCAAATATCGTGAAGACATTGTATTTCAATTGCATGTAGGCATAATTCTGGTATCAGAAGACAATAAACAATTGGTATGTCAGTTCAGGTGCTCTGACGTGTAGGCCATAAGTTGTTCGGGTGATCTCTCCTTCCATTGTTGGAAGGAACCGTGAAAAGTATGCATTGGTGTGCAAATTATGCTTTGTGTGTGGCTGTAGCAGAAAGACAAAGTCATTCACCAAAAAGCCCCAATTCCAGGGTATGATTTTTGCCCAAAATAGCCCTAAGACTGCCTACAGGCAACTCAATTTGACATGTGCTTTGTACATATCTTTTCGGCAGGTGAGCAGAGGACGCATTGCTTCAAAGAACGGACTCGCAGTCTGCTCAAGGCCTGCTATCTCCACGACCCCTACCCGTCACCGGCAAAGAAGTTCGAGCTCGCCAACCTCACCGGACTGACGGCCACTCAGGTGGGCAATTGGTTCAAGAATCGTCGTCAACGCGATCGCGCCGCCATGATCCGAACGGCCGCAGCATCAAAGTCCTCCGGCCCCCTGCAGCCTGACAACGAAATTCCCGTAGAAGTCGACCTCTCCGTTGTCACCATGGACACTGGTACCGTCGACGCTGGTCGGGAGGCCGCATTGCAGACTCGTCTTGCCTCGGAGACGGGTGCAAAGATCCGGCTTGCCGAGCAACACAGCCAAGTCTGGCTGTCGCCGCAACCGGCTTGGTCGGAGGCTAATTCGGCGGAAAACCTGGACGGCAGCATCGAGAGCCAACGGTACAGCGAAGAGGGTGCTGGCGAAAAAGAGGAGGGGGGCGAAAGGGGATCAAACGATGAAGCTGGACTGTTCTATTGTCATTGTCTAAACGCCGAGCATGAGGTAAGACTGGAAGGTGGACATGGCGCCAAGAAACAGCGCTTGGAGAGGACAGAGACAGACGACGACCGGGATCATTTCGACGCAGACAAAAGTCCATCGTTCGACGGCAAAGTGACCGAAGATGGCGTGTCTCCAGGTCGCCTGGAGGCTGGCGGAGAAGAGCCTCGTGGTACCAAAAAGCCCGGGAAGACCTACGAGCCAAGTAAGGCAAAAGCACCCTCTGACAGACGTCGTGATGAGGAGCAGTCTCAAGAGTACCTTCATAAAGTGACCAACAACACGGAAGGACAGTCAAGCAAAACTAAGCTATTTAAGTGAGTCACATGAGGTTATTAAGGCTTGATGACATGTGCCGGGTGGGATATTTGGAGAAAAACTGGTCATCAGTTTCATGTGAAACATTGGGCCGGAAGCAAGTTGAATGGAATTGTGCTTGTCGACTTGCAGCCCAATCGCTTCTGGCCCACCGTCCGCCATGGCAACCAGACATCCGGTGGAATTGGTGGATTGGCAAAATGTTGCTACAATCCGGTTGAGTCGAGTCTGTTTGCGGCCGACACCGGGTTCATATCGTTTTGTAGAAACTCTTGACGACTTCGACTTTGCGAAATCTGAGAAAAAAAACAGTTAACCTTGCGTCATCAGAACATCTCTTTATCTTTTCTCGGTGTCGCGTACATTTGCTTGAAAAGCCTACTCAGCTCCCTGAAGGATAAAAGTTGGATTTCGATAAATTCCGCGATAAATCATTCCGCTGAGCTGAAACGAAGCAGAAGAAAGTGTGTCTCTGGGAGTATGAAAACGAATTTTCACGTAGCCTCTTTATTCGCACCATCCAAACAGACAGCCTAAAACATTTGTTTTTATATGCGAAGAAAAGTTGAGTTTCGAGGAATCTCTTGTTTCATAATTGTTCAGGTTACTTCCATTTCGAGTGAAATTGTTGGTTGAAGATATTTGAAAGTCGCTTCCACAACGGATTCCTCTTGACCAGCTGTCGATTGGCTTTACAGGAACATGCATGGCGACGCTGTTTCCAAGGCAATCTCCTTCGATTCCGGTGGAAAGGTGCTGAGCCTCGTCCATCATATAAAGAACATCATCAGAGCGAGGCAGCATCGTCATAACAAAATTCATGCTAACGAGTCAAGAAAACTCTTTTTCGAAG